AATCAGTTTAACATTAATTAAACATTAATTTAGTGAAAAAAGGTCTTTGATACTCCCTCACGACTCGATCCCCTACCGTCCAGTCTATATGCCGCCTTATACCATTACACCACCGAGTTTCTGATGCGATTCCTTGGAAGATAACATACTTATAAAACTTATGAATTAGGCTCATTAGGAATGCCATGAAAAGCAAACAAAGATAATTTGAAAAGCTTTTGTTTCAGAAAGCCGTTCGGGAATTGGAAAACAACAAACGGTGCTTCTTTATTCAAAATTATGAAAACTGAAAACCTTGGTGGAGATGCAATAAATCAATATATTTCTGTTATATGTATTTCCTTCGCTTTTTTCCCCTCCCGAATAATTAATGAGTATGAGAAGTCGTTCAAAGTCCGACAATGAGGACTGGACGGGATTTCAAGTCCTTGCAATTAGTTCCAGTCCTCGGCTAGCGCCTCGGACTGGAACTAATTGCGCGGACTTTGAGTCAGACTTTGACTTTTAGCGGCGATCAAATGATCCTTCCAGCACGCGACTAACAGATAACTGCTACACCGTGAACTGGTTTTACAATGCACATTATTGATAATTGCGAAAAACTAAAAATTGCGTTTACATTTTCTATAAAGATATCTACGTTTCAAGTGTGCCAAAAACCGAAGGTAACGCCAATAACGAATGCATTGGACGAGGTCTGTCTCTGGCCAAGATAACTGAACAAGGCGTAAATGAAATGCTGCAGAAAATGTTCCAATCAGATTTCTGGATTGGATTAAAAAAGGGCGGCAGTGGGTGGGTGTGGCGTGCTGACAGTTCCTTACTACAAGTTGATGACTACAGCAACTGGGTTCCAGGTGAGCTGACGAACAGTGGAGGAGGCAATTGCGTTATTATGGAGTGGACTAGTGGCAAATGGAAAAGAAAAAAGTGTAATAACAATCGATACCCTTTTGTATGCAGTAATTAGACTTCGTAAGGCCTGGTTCATACGTCGGGATAGCGTCGCACCGAAACAAATAGCCGGTTTGAATTAAAGGGACACTGTCAATGGCACGCATGCGCGAGTAAACTTGAAAACACTAGGCTAGTGTTTGTATAGTTTACAACATGAGCGGCCGTTTTGTATGGGAATTAAAATCTCGAGCCGCAGGCGAGAGATTGTAATTCCCATACAACACRGACGCGAATGTTGTAAACGACTTATAAAACTCCAACACAAATTAACATGAATTACAGTGATACAAATGACGAAAAATGACAAATAAGGTAACTGATGAGTTTAGTCCCTATTAAGCATGTGCAATTTACTGCAACACAGAACATTTTGAATAATTWTCCATCCCACATGGAAAGCAAGCCATCTGTTGCATAAGCGAGTTCTGTTATCCATCTTTGATTGCTTCAAAACCTAGTGAAGGTCTATGATGCGACACTAAAACTGAGACCTTTGCTAGTGTTGGGTTGTCTCAATGGTGACGACCGTGTTGTAAATCTGATACAACACTAATGGTTGTATCAGATTTACAAGGTCAATCACCTGATTAAATGGTCAGCCCTTATTGGAGCAATAGCTTATGCATTATTAATAAGTTTTATAATCAAGTTTATGACTCCAAGTTGGCGCGACATAACTAATCAGCTCGTAAACGTAAACAGATCTAGAATATTCCAAAGTGTGTCAAAACTAAGCACCACAAAATGATTTACCTCGAAGGTAATACTTTCAAAGTCCGTTAGAGGTGAGACTGTTACTGCGCATGTCATCCATTGACAGTGTCCCTTTAAGCACACGAACAGCTCGACGTATGAATCCAATTAATAAGTTCGGCACGGTAGAACTAAGTTCGGCACCGCAGCTGGCACGGCCGTGCTAGTCGTATGTGCCACACGGGAAAAGATCAAAATTCATACGTCGAGCTATTTAATTATGTCAAATACATTGTATTTCCTCGTATTTTAGCCGAAAATTCAGCGGTAAGCCGTACTGAATATGCACAGTACCCAACTTAGTATCCAGGTCTACCCAGACTAAAACAAGGCGATGGATTCACCATTCACATTACAGCATTACTACCATGAATTGTACACTAGAGAAAAAAGGAAAAGACATCGATGTATTACTTAGTGATCACTATTTTGCATGCATAAAATATAATTACATTTAATTCTAGGCATTGTATAACAAGTACTGTTATAAGTAACTGTTTGACATAAAAAGTCGAACATCGGACGAGTCATGATCAGTGCCAGATTGGGTGTGGATTTTTAACTTGTATGAATTTCTAGGCAAACCTGCTACAGGCGCAGTAAACTAGCTCTGAAAGTTACTTAGAGAATTACGGTCTTAGAGATTCGTTGTTCATGACAATCTCCACAGAGCCCCATTCCGCGGCTTGCAGCATGCTTGGTCGGTAGATTGTTTTGCTAATCTTCATGCCAGTGTGTTGCAGAGCTTTTTAAAAATGGCTGAGAACGATAGTGGTATTACTTATATGTTTCTTCCCATTTATGCACCAGTACTGTATCCTGGTTTAGCTTGGTTTTATAAGAATTTGTTATGAATAAACGTTTTAAGAAGGTGAGTCCGCAATTTACTTTGGGCGTTTGACCTGTTTTCTTTATTCCACCTTGTACAGTCAAATAATTTCATCTCCCTCCTCTTCTCTTCTCTCTCTCTTCCTCTCTCTCTCATCTCTTTTCCTCTTCTCTTTATCCCATTCACAGCAAACAGCCGTAGCAATGGGAGGTAGAACACAGGTAGCCCATGAATACTGACATACAGTTTCTTGTTAGATAACCACCTCATAAACCTTGACACTTTTTAACGAAGAAAGCAACGAAATGTTGAAACTATATMAAACTCCTTGTAGAAGTGGACAGAGGAACATTAAATAAAAAGAAAAAAGAAAGAAAAAAAGGAGGGAAAAACCTTTTTGAGACGTTCCTGTCAGCGGTATATCGCATTAGTCCCAGTCCTCTAGATTTGCAATGCATCACGGGAAGAGATCATAGGGCTTCCAAAGTCGTAAATCAAATCCCACTTTTGATTTGTTTTTCTTCCTTYGCTTCTGTCCTTTTATTCTAAGACAGTTGTCCATCATGCTTGGAGAAAACAGGGGAATAGCTTAAAGATATGTCTACAAGCATTTGGCAAAAAAGAGAGGGCAATGATGTCAAGATCGCCAGTTTTGAGGACAAGCGGTGAGTTTGCCGGTCGGAATTTACGGTGATCAAAGAAGCAGGATGCATTAAGCTTACTATTTTTTTTTTATTTCCTCCTTCTTATAGATTTGCAATATTTAAATTGCTTCTTTATGGCTTCATAAAGAAGTCTACCGTAATGCCAAARAGGGCTTCTAACTGACTTGGCTTCTTTAAATGTAATTTTAATTCAAACTTTCATTTCATTTGTTTACAACTTTTATTTGGGGGTTGAGGTAGTTTCCGAAAATTACCAATAAAATTTCATTCTGTTTGCTTGAAAGCATTAATTTTGAATGATGATAAATCCCCTTCTGAATATGCTTGCATATGTACTCCAAAAGTACTCAAAAAAATACCGGGGTCASAGAATCCATCGAGTTTCTGGCGGCATGCTGGCAGTAAAGGTCAAAAGGGTCTTGTTTCTCCACGTACACTGAATTTCTTTCAGAGTTTTTTTTACTGTTCTCAGCCATTATCAACCACTTCGGTCATCTTTAGATATACAGACATCCCAATATACGGTATTCGTCACCTAATGATTTATTAATAGCAAAGATCGGCCAATCATAAAATCATGAATAATTTTCTTGATCAGGCGCCATATTTATTATTAGCTGTTGTATTTCCTTGTGTGCTATCACAACGTAGACGGRTTTTTCCGCAATTTTGAAGTCAAAAAGGTGAAGTAAATCCAGGTAAATAGTCCCTCTTTCTTTTGTTTTTGGTTATTTCTGATTAAGTTGTGCAAGACAGRGCAAAACAGTCTCCGTGTTATTGTGAAATCCCAGCGAAGCACGATGTATAAGCTTATTTATGTTCGTTCTCTGATATACATGCAAACTTACCTACTATTAGATTTCAATCGTTTGATGTTATTGTACAATGCTTATCTTCATTTTTTTAAATTGTTTTTTTAAAAGAATCGAATGTTAATTAGTTTATGCGATGTTTAAGGAATGGCAATTTAAATATCCATCCGTCGTCGTCTGATCATTTTAATGCTTTGTAACTTACATTGTACTGTGACTAAATCATCCGTGCAGTCTCGTGCCAAGTACGTCGATGCATGCTTAAAGTTCAATTTATACCTAAAGTCATTATCAATCGACTATTTCCTTTAAATTCTGAACAATTTATATACAATATTGCTAGCTCATGTTTTTTTACTTTGGATAAACTTAATGATGAAAAATATTGCTAAATGCAGTTGTAAGTGCACCTTATATGGCTCAAATAGGGAAAGCGAAGACTTTTAGCGTAATTTTAACAAAAAATATGAAAGTACAAACAGGATTTTATTCAAATTTCTGTTTCTGTTCAAGATTATTTTATGGAYATAATGATCCTCTTTAGAGGCAGAGTCTGACAGTTGTTTATTTATCATTATGTTGGATTATTTATTTTAAGTTATAAGAATGTAAATAATTCTTGTGCAAATAACAGGAAATCTTTAGTGTGCTTTGTACGCTTAAAAGAAATTTCTTTATGAAACCCTACTAAGTAATAGTTGATATTGTATGTATGATGCTGCTACTATGTAGCTGTTTTGCTCTCTCTACATTATATTAGGTACTAAGCTCTTCAGACACAGCCAACAATCATGAATTCATATTTGCACTGTTATCAAAGTAAGCAGGCCAAAGTAAGGACTATTGATTTACATGTAACACAGGAAACAAAATGAAATACTAATGAAAGGGAATATAAATATGACTATTTAGTATTTGGTTATAAAAGCTAGACAGCAATTGTAGAGTGTAAAAGAATAACGACAAGAAGAAGCAAATAGGAATGAGTGAAGAAACAAAGTGAGAGGAAATTGGAAATAGAATTTGGATAATAAAGGGAATGGAAGGGATAAAAAGAAGAATGCATGCATCCATCAGCATAACAAAAAAAATACAAATAAACAAAAATTTATAAAATGACAATACCAGACCTCAAGATAAGAGAGTTCTTTAAGTCATGAAATTGGGAAAAGAGAAGAAAATGCCAGGAAGGATGATCTAAGTAATAAATTTTCATGTACATGTACTTCAGTTTTTGAAAGAGAAATTATTGAATTGTCAATGTTTATAATATGATAAACAATTAAGTGATTAGAGATTGCATTGCTATGCACCATTTCCAGCAGTCATGACTTTCAGTTGTCAACCAACTACCAAGTCAATTGTTTATGGCATAATGACGTGACCATTTGTTTACATTGTGGATAGATTCTCATATCCTGTAGGATCTTGTACAGGATCCTATAGGATCCTACGCAGGATCCTGTGCAAGATCCTGTTCAGGATTATAGGTAGGATCCTAGTTAGGATCCTGCTAGGATCTTGTACAGGATCCTGATTAGGATTTTCACCAGGGATCTACTTTTATTTGATATGCAGTCACTCGGATCCCCTCTGGTGACCATAATCCTTAGCGTTAAAACAATAGAACTTGTTTTGGTGTGATGTCATTATGCTATAGGTCAATTAAAAAAAGTGTTGCTTATTACCTTTATTAACTTTTACAAAGCTTTGTTAACCAAGATGCTGAATAATTGATATAAACAAATTATTTGATAGCTGTTTGTTGATATATTTMATGTAGGTAGCCTTGCTGTTCCAAGGAGAGAAGGTATTTCTGGAAGTTCTGGTTCTTTGTCAGACGGAAGACCAAAATCTCCAGCATTCAAGAGTTCACCTTCTCCTAAACGTAAACCAGGTACATACCCAGTCACTTCTTAGAAGTTTTTTAAGTGTAACTATAAGCTGTTAAACTATATAGCCTGGAACTAAAATCAAGTGGTCTTCGTTTCCCAATGGTTTTTTTAAGTGCATTAGTCACATTACAGCAACACTATAAATGATCCTGGAGACTGAGAATTTAAAATCTTTTGCAAATTGTCTTGTATTGAATTGTCTTTCTTGTCTCCAGGTCATTGGTTTAGAAGAAAAGATGGAACAAAAAGTGATAGCGAGGTAATACAATTATACAAAAAGATTAAAAAGAAAATTTATCGTCACAAGAGCTTAAATAAATTACATACAATGCTCGCTTTGTTTAGCAATCATGGTCATCCTTTCTCACGATGTTGCAGAATCAAAGCAAGTCTTTGGCTAAGTCACATTTTCTTGTGTTCACAATAAATGTAGAAAATTGCTGTGTAAGCTATAGCGTTACACTTTGATAATGATATTTGGCTGTATGTTTACTACAACTTGCATGTTACTTTTCATCTAGATTCTTTTTCTGACGAATGCCAAGGTACTGATCCACAGTTTATAATGATTTATCTTTAGATTATTTTAATGAAAAATAATTTTTGACTATAATTCCTGGATCTAGGCAAATCAAATTCAACTTTCCCCTTTTATTTTTTGCTTGCTTAACCAATTTTCTTCATCCTTTTCAATACAAGAAAATGTTGTGACCTAGCCAAAGCCAACGATGTGGTTCTGCAGAATCAACATCTTGGGAAAGACCCATTAGGTGTACTGTTAAATTATTAGAATGTACAATATTATATTACTCTTAGATGCAGGACAGTGACGGTCATGATTCAGAAACCAAGAAACATTTTAAAAAGGTGTTGGCACAGATAAAGGAGGGTCCATCAATGGCTGCAAGGTATGTACTTAGAGTTATTGAAAACAGATTTATTCTGACATCATGGTGTACATTTACAGCTCTCAGCTCTCTCTCTCAGTCTCTCCAAGACTTTTGACTTTTAATATCTGGATTCAGTCTATCTAATATGCTAATTAACATAAGTTGCTCTGTTTGGCTTTTGGGCTTCCTGTGTCAAACCCTTTGATTCGAAATGTAGAATGGGTGATGTTTTGGTGACTTATTGAAAGAACAGACTTGTAACATGGTATATGGGCTCAGGGCTCATTGCTCAAATGGCCGGGCTCAATTCCGAAATCTTGGTTGGGCTCTGGGCTCAAASWGKTAGGCTCACGGCTCAAGAGAAAAAAATCGGGATACTATAATAATAATTCATTTAATTTGAGTTAAAATCATTTTTAATTGTTCTGTAAAAGAAGTATCTAAAAAGCACTAATTTAAACTGCGGAATATTCGGAAAAGCATCGTTTCCGAAGTTGTTCCGAATACCGATGAGGTTCGTGCACTGTTCCGTGCAGTCAGGTAATTCGATCCCATCTTTAGATAGGTGGCGTGGTCGTTCTGGAATATCTGAAAATTAAGTCTTTCTTTTCTTCTAAATTTTCCTGCGTTGCCATCAAACGAGGTAAAAAAAGTTTTTGGCAATTTTCTCAGTTATCAGTTAAATTTCTCGGTTCTCAGTTAAGCCACATGTTAATTATTATTTTTGTGTAATGATCAACAACTAAATATTCAGTTATTAAGAAAAGTACGTTTTAACAGTGTTCTTTCAGGCTAAGAAAATTCCCCAAATGGTTCTTCAGCTTTAATACTGAGCTTTGAACACTGTAGTCAATATTGGAACTTAGATAACTCTCTAAGTGTACCTCCTCCCCTTTTCTATAGTAGCAAACTAATACTTTTACCATGCCTTTCATAACGATGATAGATAGCTTTGATCAAGTCAACTTTTTAAAATGCATCATTAGTTATATATAAAGCCGTGACATAAAGTTGATATCACACGTGATAGCCAGACAGGGAGCGCACTGGAAAAAATCGCGCGCTTTAAAGTTTGTAACTTTGATGTAAATATGATGTAAGTGTCCAAAATTCTGTAAATTTGATGTAAATGATTTCCATTAAATTTACAGAATTTTGGACACTTAAGTCATATTTACATCAAATTTACAACATTTAAAGCGCGCGATTTTTTCCAGTGGCAGTCGATTATGTGGGAGGCTGATGAGCCCCGAAGGCGCGACTTTTTAGGGGTGTACGGGGGCATTCCCCCCAGAAAATGTTGGAGTTTTAATCCTCGGAAATGCGATTTCCAGCATTTTGAGAGAATCGAGAAGACACATAATGCATTAATTTTATGGAAATTTTGCGTCATGACTTAACAGCGAAAAAAGTCATTTTTGATCGTTCGCACTAAGCGGTGGTACTTGCCAGAGTGTGTGGTAGCACATGCAAAGCTAAGGAATTGTCTTCGGGGTCGTATCATTTTTGGCGCCTGCATTCAGCGTTATTCGGCCAAACTAAACATCCAATGAGAGTCGGTGTCACATGACCGCCATTTTTGAAAAAAAGAAACAACAACAACAGAGAAGCCCTGGAAACAAGGTTCACTTACATGCAAAACATGTGCAAACAAAGGAATATCAGCTAACAGTTATCTTGTTAATATCAGTTATCAGCTACAGTAAATAAACCCGAAATTCTCATTTAACAGTTATTATTTTAGCCGTTTCTCAGTTAACAGTTAACCCCATTCAGACCCTGATTCAATTCTTCCTAATTCGAGCCATGACACTACTTGTGTTATTATGTATATTTTTTGTCATACTGTATAAAGAGACCTCCTTCGGTTTTTAGCTAAGATCTTTTGAACACTATTCAAAGCAATTCTTGAGCAAACAACTTAAATGGGCTCAAAATGTTTGCACGGGCTCAGGGATCAAAYATTTGGTGAGAATCGGGCTCARGGATCAATATTTTCACCAAAAAATAGGGCTCACTAGATCCTAGATATACCATGTTACGAGTCTGAAAGAAACTCTAAGGTCCTACATTAATGAATGAAAAGTGTTTGTCAACTTTGGCATTCAGGAGTTTCATTTCCATTTCTGGGGGGGAGGGAGGGGGGTATTTATATCATTGTTGGTATAATAGTCTTCTTCACAGTTACGTGTGCCATATTGAAAGGTAGTGGTGCCTTTACTCCGAAGTGAGACAACCATTGAGCGTGCAGTGATAGATACCTTTGAATGATTGTCTTTAAGTGTGAAAGAAGGTTCATTGGGAGGGTTAGTTTTTAATTTTAATACTTATTTCCAGCCCTTCTTGAGTTTTCAAAGCTTAAATTTTTGTTATATTTTGTGTACATCTAAAGGGGAGGGATGAACATGAAATTCTAACATCAAACAAGAATGGAGAGATGAAGGATTCAAAGATCATCCGACTTACTTCTCTGGCAAATAGTCATTGAACTCATAGTATAATAATTACTCTCAGACATACTGACTCAGTGATTAATGGTTGATTTTATTTAGCACTACAGATAGCAAACTTTATTTGGATTTATTTCCCATTTACATTTCCCATAAAGGTTTTCTCTTGAATAAATCTGGGAATATTTTGATTTCTATTAGATTATATTTTAAGTCCTCTTATCTTCTCTTGACTATTCTGGCAAAATTGCTCTCTTGGCTGCTAGTATTTCAGGAAATGAAATTCTTGTCTTGCTCTGGCAAATTTGTTTCCTTGTGATCGCTTTCAGAAATCACGTTTCTCTGGGCTTGTTCTGGCATGTTTGGATCTTTCTTGTAGCTTCTCCATTCATCYTGTCCTTCACATTTCCAGGCCACACAGASCAGAGCTAGCATAATCAGTATGCACTTCAACTTCATTTTCTGCAGAAAAGGTTTCAACATGATTGTACAATGGAATAATCTTTCTCTGAAATTTTGGAAAACATGCTAAAAACTAAGTTAAATGGGGCATKAAATCAGCATTTATGTGCTGTGTGAAAACTATCATTTATTGCATTTTTTTCAGAAAATTGTTTGGTCTCTTTTCTAGTTTATTTGTTATGATTTTTAAAATTTATTATTTTTAATTTTAATGTTGTTTTTATTTATTTTTAAAATTAMCAAGAAAAAACAAATTTCATAGTGATTTTCAAAATGTTTTATATGCTCAATGAAAGCTTGAAATTAAAAGCAACATTGTTTGATCCTTTTTTTCTCAAAATCCACTTTTTTTAATATAATGAAAAAATTACTCCATTCAATCTTGTTGTATATCAGCTCAGCTTAGTCAAGGCTCGATTTCTTCGAAAATGTTTAATTAATACTACTTTAATAGAAGATAAAACTTTGAGAACTACAGCTACAGTAGTAAGAACAAAAATAATTCCCATTAAACCACGGCTTGATGATTGATTTTTCGCTTGCCATGCAGGCAATGCGATTTTCTCAAAATCACCTGCACAGGATGTGGCTACAGGAACGACAATGCCGTATAGATAAAAAAATCCTATCAAAGAAGTATGGTACAAATTAAAACAGCTCGTTTAGCCACGGGTTTAAGCGTAAAGCACCTTACCTCAATCTTGATACTGTATGGGAGGTTTTCCTTTGTTAAAAGTTTTGATGCAAAGTCTGTAAGACTGTTACTTSAGTGAGGCTGGCACACCTTATATAGAGTGAAGGAGAGGCCACATAGCASTGTATTGTRCTTCTCAYAACCTGATTGGCTAACTCAGTCCMCTCSTCTCTTAWCTWCCAYCTTCTTCTTCTCYMTCTCACTTTTTTTYMMAAATTAATGCACATTCTTWGGCAATATCTGTTTGTACCATGGAAATTTGAAAAGTAGGGCACTTGTGCTTGTACTTTATAATAATTAATACTTTGCTGGAGTCTGATTTTAATATTTCTTCTAAAACAGCATTATCAGGATTTAAAGTTTAAGGTGGCTTTCTATAATCTTTTTATCATTATTATTATTTTTTTTTTTCGACCATACCTCTCCTTTTAAATTTGCTTTTTTTTTAAATCTTTTCATGCGCTGATTATTTGGTGTTTGGACCAGCATTAAATTATTGACCAGTGATTTGTTTGGCATAATATTTAGCTCTATCAATGTTACCTAGGCAACGGAAATCCCATTTTCTCAAAATTCGTTTTTGCCAAATATATCAAAAAATTGACGAGATCCAGAAAAGCAGTAGGCATCATCATTAACTTCAAACTATTGCAGCATATTTTTTTTGGAATAGTTGGAAACAAATTCATCTGTGTTCGATTTCAAGTGATATTGACAAATATTTTATGCAATAATGTGCAATTTTAGCATATTACTCGAAATCGAATTTTAACTATTCCAAAACGTTTTGCAATAGTTTGAAGCCTTCTGAAATAAATAATAAATAATAATTTTATTTTTTATTTTTTGAAAATTGTGACCTTGGAAATTATTGTTCGGTTGACAGTTTCRACCAAAAATAACTGTCAGTTAATGATGGATTTTTTTTAAATAATGACCTTGGAAGTTTGTTTACATTAAATAATCTGTATTGCGAACCAATTAATATATCTCGGTAAGGCAAATTCTAATAAGCTAAGGGCATCCTTTGAAATGAAAATATTAGTTTTGCAAAAAACCTTCACGGAAAACAAAATGATGGGAAGGATAATTGATGATAAAAGGAATTATTTCCATCTATGAAAGAGCGAGTAACTGTTTAATCTCTTCAATTAATTTTTTGCTATGATAATTATATCAAAACACTGACCAARTAGGTCTTAAAAATATTTATTTTGCCCTCTCAAACCTCCCTTTCTGCCACCAACCTTCCCCTATACCCTGWCATACAAAATTCTCACCAGAAATTAATGGATTGTCATAGAAATATAAATCTATAATTTTATAAGTTTAGAACAGCAGCATTTAAGAACAGCACATTAAGAACAACAGCATTCAATATTTTCTTATGATTTAATTATAAATTAATTCCAAAACAAATGTTTTATTCTTTAAAATGACCGTTTGTCTATCAATGCAAAATATTGTATTCTGGGACCTTCCGCTACCTGATTACAATTGGTTGTTTTAAGGGTGCTCCTGATTTGACCACAAGTTGTTTGTCCAATGTTTTAACATGTAAGAGAAATAAACAGTTTACAATCTGAAAGCTCATACCTTACTCTCATATTAAAAAAAATAAAATGAGTTTCACTCTAAATTGGAGTTCAGGTTAAAAAAGACAGAGCCACAACAGAGCGAATGAAGAATTGCTGTTAAACTTGAGAATGTGTACATGTATAGCTATTTCAAAAAAGGTTGTTGAATGGCAATGGAGAATATCAATGGTCGAACGGTGATTGCATGACTGAAAGTAGCAATAGCTTTTGCTTGTTGAAAGGCGATAAAAACTGATTTGTATTGAAAGATGGTATGTCGTAAACATTGGCTCCATTTAGCCTCCATTTCTAAGTAAGGTGAATCCATAAGTGTAACCATAGTCCCTTTCGGTCGTGCAATCTCCCTTCAACAATCGACGTTTGCCGTTCTCCCCAACAACATTTTTTGAAATAGCTGTATCTTCATCTTAAAATGTCACCACTTGTAGCTCATATAGCTTAAGATATTTCTTATTCTAATTTTCCAGGTTTGTCTAAGGGAAACCATAAAAGCGCAGTTACTAAGCAAAACAAAATGTATTCTTGTCTAAATTTATATATTCTTAGTACAATATTTTCTTCCTCAGGCTAACAATGGCCAGATTTCCACTTTAATAGTTTTTTTTTTAGATTCATTTGCATTGAATGTGGGTTTTCTCTCTAAATTTGGCGATGTAATGAAAATATATTTTAACTATATTTTTGTTTTTATTAGTAGAAAGAGAAGTAAAACTGCTGAAGTACTTCCCAGCAGCTCATCTAGTGGGGGAACTGAGACATCTCCAACCTTACACAGTCATTTATCATCCAGCGGAGGCTCAACTGAGCTAGGGAGGGGACGGAGTAACACAGCATTGTCCATTACAGATGAAGAAAATATTGATCTTGATTCTGTAAGTAATAACTAAGAGACTTGAATTAAATGCAATAGAAAAAAATCACAGTTAGTAAAGTGTAACATACAAATGAATGAATGAACAACTTGAATGTTTTGTTGTGCTAGAGTCGAAACGAACCATTTTCTCAA